AGTTTGGTTATGTTAGAACAAGAAATGTCCACTTTAGCTTATTTTTTGCAAGGGAAAACCGATCGTAACAACACAACCGGATCCGGACCAACCCGTTTTGCCTGAGACTTCCTCACGAAAATGATGAAAATGAGGCTGCGGCCTAGGCGCGGCGGGGGGGTCGTGCACCAGGGGTCCCAACAATAATTATTCTTTAGAAGTAATAATGTTCAACAACAACAACGCAACAAGCAGAATCCTCACCACGGATCCCCACTAGAGCCACGCACCCAGGGACAATGAATGAACGTTCGGCCCCCTCACTCTGATCACTACCATCGCCGAGATCGGGATCTTCTTCCTTCGGTGGAGGCGTACCGCCGAAATCGGTGCTGGTTTCAACCTCTAGGCCTGCGACTCTTTCTTCCTCGATTTCCTGGTGCGGCTCCCAGCCTGCAGAACCCACGCTGCCTGCGGCCCCTCGTGGGGGCGCTGGCTCTGCCCCTGCACGGCCGGCCTCCCCCCTGGCAGTGCAGGGTGTGGCCCGGCTGGGCCCCCTGCGCCGCTTGCGCTGCCGGGTGGGCCGTCCTGGCTCCCCTGCTCTCCCCTGCTCTCCCCCTGGCTCTCCTGCTCTCCCCTCCTCTCGTTGCTCCCCCCTCCTCCAGTGGGCTGCCCTGGGCGTTCGCCTTGCTCTCCGCCGTCGTGCGTCGCTCCCCTGCTCCCCCCCTTGCTCGCGCCTCGGGCTGTCGCCCGGGGGGTCTCCTCTCCTTCTCCCGGTCTCGGGTTCGTCCCGGTCCCGGGGCGTCGCCTCCTCCTGCCTTCGATGACGGGGTCGACTACAGTATTGATTTAACCCACAGTTGATTCCCCATCGAATCTACAACAAATGCGTAGAATGCTCCGCAGATCTACGGCGCATTCTACGTATCCTTCGTGGCTTCGACGAGAAAGTGAAGTTTGGGAGAAGCTGGTGTTGTAGTCGCTCCCCCACTCGATGCCTCTCCTGCTGTGCTTCTTGGGCCGTCCGCCTGGGCGCTGGCGCCGGCCGCACTGCGTCTGCCCTCCACCGCCGCATCTTGCTGCGCCTAAGCGGACCGCCTGCGGCGCTGCATGTGCTCGTCTCCCTCCTTCCCCTCCTCCTCCTCCTCCTCCTCCCTCCTGCTCCTCCCTCTTCCTCCTCCTCCTCCTCCTCCTCCTCCTCCTCCTCCTCCTCCTCCCTCCTCCTCCTCCTCCCCCTCCTCCTCCTCCTCCTCCCTCTTCCTCATCGGTCCTCCTCCTACCCCTTAGGCCCCTGGGCGGGCCGCCGAAGATCTCTACCCCTTCCCCCGGGGGGCTAGCTTTGTGCGCTGGCTCGTCTCGTTGACGGTCTCCTCCTGCCGGCTGCCCCCCGTCGGCACACGCTCGGCGGCAATCAGCTCAGCGCAATCCGCCAACGCCCTCGCTGAGTCCGGCCGCGAAGTAAACGCGCGCGTGTTTGTGTGTGTGTGTGGTTGTGTGTGTGTGCGCCTGTGGGATCCTAAGTCGTTTTTCTTTAGATTCATCCTAAGTCGGTGCCGTTGTCGCGTGCCTGTGGGATCCAAAGCGATCCTGCGCCCCGCTTCTGCTTCGGTTTGGGCACTGTCGCGATGTTTCGTCTTTCCATTTCCCTCCTTTTTTGCTCCCTCTTTCCCCCTTCTGTTCCCTCACGGCTGACCCCCCGTGGGTGTCGCTGCCGAACCTCTATAGGTGGATCCAACTTCTCCCTGCTGCGTGAGCCAGGCCGATATGCCCGCTCGCTCGACCTGTTCTGCGCCGCGCAGCCGCGCGTGGCTGCGACGCCAAAAAGTGTATGTGTGTGTGTGTGTGTGTCTGAACTTGTTTGGTTTTGTCACCCGCTGGTGTCATGCAAGCGAGCGGCACACTTCCTCTGATGATGGATGCGGCTGCCGCGTGTTTCGCGGGCGTCGGCCGTCCGTGCCCCTCTGGACTTGCACTCTCTCGGGCGCGTGAACGACGGTGGCTTCGACGTCGTGCTTAAATTCGGCTCGCCGCATCCGTGACCGCGGAGCCTCCTGAACCTGTTCGGGTACCTGGCGATGGTGTGCATAGTGTGATCGGTCGGGCGCACCTTCCTGATGGAGAGCGTGGTGAGCATCTTCCTGATGAGGGTGATCGGCATCTTGATGCACTTTGTCCGCTGTGTCGTGTGCGCCTGCCTGATGATTAAGAGTCTCGCGATGGATGTGTGCCTCATGGGCCTCGTCCTGGACAACTTCCGGGGGATGGCGACGAGCCTATTCCTGCTGACCCTGGCGAGCTTCGCCGTGAGCGCCTTCCTCGTGATGCCAGGTCTTCTGACCCTGCTCTAGGACATCGGCCGGACGATGTTGCACATCGTGGGTGAGGTCGGGCACTTTCTGATAGCGAGCCTTGTCGTGAGCTTCGTGTGCCTCGCTGTGAGCATCGTCCTGGTGATTCTGGTCGTCACACTGGTGAACATCGTGCGTTCTGTCGTGTGTGCCTACCTGGTGATGGAAAGTTTCGCGATGGATGTCGTGATCCTACTCCTGGAGATAGTGCGCGTCCTGAACGTGATCGTGAGCATCTTCCAGACGATGGTGAACATCATCAGGTGCATCTTCTTGATCGAGTGCCTCGTCGCAGAACTCTTCCTAATGGTGACTGTCGTCGCGTGCTTCTTGTGCATCGTCCTGGGCATTTTCCTGGCGATGGTGATCGCATTCTTGCTGTCATCCGTGAACTTCGTCGTGCGTGCCTCCCTGCAGAGGGCGCGCTTGCCGAGCCTGTACGTGTGCATCGTCCTGATGGAAAGTTTCGTCGTGAACCTCATGCGTTTCGTTGTGAGCATCTTGCTGGTGATGGTGATCGTCCTTATGATGACGGAGAGCTTCGCGAGGCTAGCAGGCATATTCCTGGGAATGGTGTGCATCATGAGCGTGGTCGGGAACATCCTCCAGATGGAGAGCTTCGTCGCGGGCATCTTCCTAGAAGTACCATTCGTCGGTATGCTTTCTGGGCCTTGTCGTGGGTAGCTTCTTGGCGATGGTGATCGTATTACTGCTGAATTCCTCGAGCTTTCGACGGCCGCTGGAGGCGTGCGATGTGGGGATTGCGACGGCCTCTTGGAGGTTTGCACGTTCCGATGCGTGCTGCGGAAATTTGACATGCGATCGCCGTGTTCAGCGCGCCGCCCGGTGCCGGCCTCGTCGCTGCTCATGGTGCCTCCAGTGCGATCCCGAGTCCTACCGCCCCTGGAACTCTGAAGGAGACAGCTGCTCCCTGCCCGCTGCCTGCCGTGCCGCTCTTCTGCTCCTCCCTCCTCGGGTGGCCTCCCTCCTCTCCCTCGTCGCCCTGTGCCTCCCTCGCTCTGCCTCTCTCCGTGTTGTGTTGCGGTGTTCTCCTCTCCGCCGTCCGTCTGCACTGAGATTTATCGCAACCTTGCATGGGTTGAGCGATTCACACTCGGGGCTCCCCACCCTCGGGGGCCGTCCTGGACTAGACGCAGCTTTCTTGCGCACGGTAGGTCGCACATGGGTTGCTCGGTGGTTGGTGGGTGAGATCGAAGTGGAATGGAGAGCCCCCCACCGAGAAATCGGTTTCGGTTTCATGCTCGTGTCGTGTGTGCGGGCGTGGCGATCCTGCGTGGACACGCAAGAGGAATGACGCCGCCGTGGCTAGGGGCTGTGGAGCCGGTTGTCCGCCCCCCCCCCCGATGGCCGGGGGTATCCCGGCGGTGGCGCGGGGTGCCCCGTCGGTGGCGTGGGGTGCCCCGTCGGTGGCTCAGGGTGTCCCCCGACGGTGGTTCCGCGTGTCCTGCCTAGCTCATGAGATCCATTGTGAGACTGACTGTGAGATCGATGCTGAGCTCGATTGCGTGATCGATCGTGATCGTGAGATCGATCCCGGGTTGCCCCGTCGGTGGCAGGGGGGTAACCCGTCGGCGGCGCAGGGTGCCCCGTCGGTGGCGCCCGGTGTCCCGACGGTGCCCCGCCGTGGCGGCTCGATGGTAGCCCGGGAGATCACGTGTGAGGTCGATAGTCAGACCGATGGTGGGATCGATTGCGAGCGTGAGCTCGATCGCGAGCGTGAGCTCGATCGTGAGAGCGAGAAATCGATGGTGAGATCGATCGCGAGCGTGAGCTCGATCGTGAGAGCGAGAAATCGATGGTGAGATCGATAGCGAGATCGATCGTGATGTCGATCTCGGCAGGTCTTCGGCTCGGGGTGCCCCACCGTGGCCGGGGGTGCCCCATTGTGGTGTCCCGATGTTGTCTCGTGACATCTCTGGTGAGGTCGATCGTGAGATCTCTTGTGAGATCGATCGTGCGATAAATATCGAGAGCGATAGTGATATCGATGGTGAGATTGATTGTGAAATTCGTGTGATCGACGGCGCCATCTAATCGCCATCACAGTCATCGCAATTGCTGTCAGTGGGTTTTCCTTTCCCCCCCACCCCCCTCAACCTCCTTATCACCCGAAGGGTGGTCGTATAGGTATATCTCTGCGTATTTTGCTATGACACGGAGACATTCGGGCCAATACCGCACCGCCGCCGCCGCCTTCTCCTTTTCCTCCTCCTGCCCTCGCCCCCACTCGGGCCCCCAGGGATGGCCCGAAGAGGGCGTCCAAGGCTACCTTTGCTCCCAAAGATCTCGCTGTTCACCCTGGTTGCCCGCTTTGTTTCACTACATGTGGCCCTTCGTGCCTGTTCCCGTCAACTCTCTGGGCAGCGTTTCTGAATGGGCTGCCGAGGATACGCGAGGCATGAAGAACTCATTCTAGTGGCTCGTTCGTTCGTCGTCCCTCAAGCTCTCCCCTTTCCTATCTGGTCCCGCCCCAGTCCTCCCCGAAGCCCTCCACCCTGGCTCCGTCCCCCTCCAGGCCGCGGCTCCCTCGTGCAAGAGCCAAGGCACGCGTGTAATCAACTCGTCTCTCTCTCTCTCTCTCTTTCTCTCTCTCTCTCTCTCTCTCGGCCACCCGTGATCCTGCATCGATGCAGGGCTGCGTAGGGCCCGCGCGAGACTCGCTGCTTCGTGAAACCCAGCAGCGAGTTCATCCCGCGCTGATGGCCGTCTTTTGCCCACCTCGCTTGGCCTGGCAGGGCCAATCCGATACAACCCCCGAAACCACCATACTGTTCGGCGGCGCGCCGAGGGGGCGGAGGAAGTGAGAGGGGGCAGGCCTTCTCAAAGGCAGCGGGGCTTTTTGGAGGCCCTCTGGCCTTCTGAGAGGTCGTGCCTGTCTTCGGAGGCAGGGGCAGATGGCCATGCTGACATAAGCGTAGCAGCAAGGGTCTGTACTTTGGCGCTCACCTCTACTTGCCAGGGTTTGTAGGTGTTGCGTAGCTTGGCCACTCTCTTGACCTGAAGACGTCATTACGTGATTTTGTGCGCAACAGCGCCGTTGCATCTGCATATGCTCTGGGCCAACTAACACTCAACTTGAGACCAAACTGTATGCCGTCTGATGCCATGCCATACTTTCGAACGAACCTAGATCATAGTTTAAAACATGTAACCGAACACGGCCGACATGTTGTTCGTGTGTTGCATCTGACTCACCGTGAGAATGCCCCGTTGGTGTTCGCAAGCTGCTTTGCGTAAGTCAGCGCACATCGCTTGCCTCAGGGGCTCTCACCCGTGTTCGAAGCATTGGCACGTCCTTCTGAATCTTCGCTCGGTGGGCGCCTCGTGGGCATCCCGCGCGCTGGCACGGTATTCAAGGCTCTCGGCCGGTGGGCGTCCGTGGGCGCCTCGTGCGCTCGCTGGCTCTCCAGGATGTTCGCATAGAGCGCAGGTCACAGCTTGCACCCAGACTGATCACGCGAGAGTAGCCTGCAACTGTAGCGTAGCACCAACCACACAAGTGGTACCCCACAACATACACAACAGAACTTGCACCACATGCAGTGTCCGATGGATCAGACCACCGAGGCCCCACCACACAGATTGCTTTCCCACTGGCACACTGAGGCGTGGTATAATGCTCAAGGCTGCCTGGCAAGGTGTCCGTAGTCTTCTGATGCCCCCCTCCTCTCATCGCAGAGTGCTGCATGCACCGACCCCGTTCCCAAGGCCACGACCTCTCGTAAAGCAAGAGTGGGTCCGCGCTCCCAAGGTCATCCCGAGGTCACGGTCCTTAGAGCAAAACTATGAATTCACGCGCCTGAGATCACGACCCCTTCTGAAAAGCAATGGGCAATGGGTCTGCGCTCCACAAGCCACGATATCTCTAACCAACAACGAAGGAACCGCGCTCCTGAGCTTCAAAGATGGGCCATCTGCCTCCTAGACAGCCCAATCAGGCCCAACGGCGACCGCCTCAAGATGGCCCAAGAGGCCCCCAAGACGACCCACGATGGCCATTAGAGGACTCCCGGTAAGGCCAGACTGAGCTTAAACCATTTCGGGCATCTCCACCCTTTCGGGCTCCTCCCAGACATCTTTTCGGGCTTCTCCACCTGTCGGGCATCTCCACCTTTTCGGGCTTCCAGCATCTACAGGCGGCCCTGGAGGCCTCCAAGCTGGCCCAAGAACGCGCCCGAATGGACGAATTCGTATCGAAGACGGCCTCAAGTCAGCGCAAGGGGACCCCTAGATGGCCCTGGACGGCCCCAAGAGAGCCCTAAGCTGGCCCAAGAGGGCTGCGAGAGGGGCCCAAGGCGGCATTAGAGAGCCACTCGATGGCGCAAGACGGCCCAATGGCGGCCATAAGAGACCCCAAGACGGCCAGGAGGTCCCCAGGACGGCCCAAGAGAACCCAACGACTGCCCAACAGGGACACAAGACGGCCCAAAGTGGCCCAAAGGGCCCTCAAGGCTGCCCCAAGGAGCCCAGGAAAGGACGAGATAGCGCCAATCTCCCTTCTCCCTTCTCCGCCCCTCCCGCGCCTCCCTGCTCACTCCTTCCTGCACCTCCTCTCCCATTCACCCTTCCGTCGTCTCTCCGTCGCTGCTCCCTCCTTTTCCTCCTACTTCCTCCTCCTCCTCCTCCTGTTGCTCCCCACCCTCCTCGATATCCCCTTTCCTCTCCCATCCTACCTTCACCCACATTCCTTCTCGCTACCTTCCTCGCCGCGTCTCTTCCTGCTCCTCCTCCTCCTCCTCCTCCTCCTCCTCCTCCTCCTCCCTCCTAGGAGGATAGACAATGTTTTGGGTTACTCTCTCTCTCTCTCTCATTCTGGCTCTCCATCAATCTAGGTATGTATATCTAGAACTGTGTGCATGTATGTATAGATGTATCCGCCACCGTGCCCCGAACTAGGAACTGGAGTGTCTTGAGGTCCCCCGAATCCTCAGGTATGAAGCGTTGGAATACGATTTGGGACAAAGACCACAACCCTAAATTCTGGGCGCTCCCGGGCGTTCTTAGGGCTTGTCGCGTGTCCCCGCGTGCCTTTCCCGGAGGAGGCAAGATGGCCCTTAGTAGAGGCTTCATAGATGGGGTCCGAGTAGATGGGGTCGAAGGATCGCGCCGCATCGCCAATGCATCGCCGATGTATGGGCGATGCATCGGCGACGTCGGCGATGCATCGGCGACGTCGGCGTGGGGAAACATGGGCTCCACATCGAGCCGCATCGTCGATGCATCGGCGATGCGGCGCGATCCTCCGACCCCACTCACTCGGGCCCCATCTTGGAGGCCTAGACTTAAACAGGTCGAGTGGGCCCCAAGAGGTTCCCACGATGGTCCAAGAGAGCCCAAAACCTCTCCAAGACGGTAGAGGAGGGTTCCTGGAGGCAACCATCACTGATTGTCCTCAAATGTTTGTTGCGGATGTTCGCGTTCTCGCTTTTCCGGGTTTCTGGCTCTCCACCAGGGCCCCATAGTTTTCCAACATCGCCCCAAGACGGCCAAGATATCCCCGAGAGGCCCGCAAAACGGCACAAGAGGGCCTAAAATGAGATCGATGGTGAGACCGATCGGTAAGGAGATCGACCAAGAACCAATTGGGAACCCGCCCCGCCGCGCACCGAAATCGGCACGGAACCAACAACCGGGAACCCGGGAACCGGGAACCTCATAACCCAGGAACCCAGCCGCCCACCGAAATCGGCCGGACACTTCCGCCAAATCTTCCAACACCCGCTAGGACCCCTTCAGTGCAAGCGCTGAATGCAAATGTTGTTGTACAATCAAAGCAACTACACTCATAACGCATCCTGAGATCAATATCCATAGTAAGGATGCAAGTTACGGATGCAAGGCACTGGGACATCTCGTTGGCCATGCAGAGCTCCTTAGACGTCAACGTTGGCTCAGGATGGGCCGAAGAAGCAGAGATGAAAGGGTAGCTTTGATGAAACAGCGCATCCTTATTATGGATTTTGACTGCACTGCTTATCCTCCTTTCCATACTCCGCCACAGACAGGTTTCGCATTCATTACTTGACGAGTCGCCCTGTGCCTCTCCAAGGTTCCTTTTGGATGATCCTTCGGGGGGATCGGGTCGTAGCGGGCATAAAACTTTCCAGTCACATAGAAATTTGCCCTCCGCCTCAAGATGACCCCCGAGACCGCCAGCAGGCCCCGAGAAGCTCCCAAGAAGCCCCAAGGTCTCACAATGGGCCCCAAAGTGGCCACCGAGAAACGCCAAGACACCTCAAAACCGCCTCCGAGAGACTTCCGAGAGGCCTCCGATGAGATCCCCACACGCGTCCAAGGGCCTTCTGACCTACAACCCATGCGCGGTGGCGCGGTGAACCGAAGGTCACTAGTACATAGTCTCATAATCCGCCGTCCCCTGTTGGCTTGCCATAAAGGTGCCTGGCGTGCTCAAATTCTGATGATTCTTGGCTCTTTTTCGAACTCCCTGTGGGGCTTCGGCTCATTGCGCTAGCCATCCGGAACGCCCTGGAGCCGGTTGGCAACCACTTTTCTGCTCCAGATGGGTCCAATATTGTCCAATACACGGCATCCAAGACGGCCAAGATGGCCTCAAATGGCTCCCAAGATAGTCCAGCATGGCCTCCTAGACGGCGCAAGGGGGTCAAAGACGCCTCCAAGTCCGCCCAAGAAGCCTCCAAGGCGGCCCAAGAGGCCCCCAGAGGCTACCAGCACGGCTCAAGAGGCCTTCAAGAGGTCCTCCAGGAGGGCCCGAAAAGGCCAGAATCATTGATCCCCCTGAGGTTTCTAAAAGATTCTGCCTCGTGCTCTTCCAGAACGGCCGAAGGCCACCAGTACATATTCTGATGCTCCACTCTCCGAGGGAGTAGAGCTCAGAGGCGATTGCCTGGCCGTCTCGCTCGGCGAATGGCTCGGCCGTGTTGTTCGGGACAACTTCTTATTCTGAAGATCGTACGAGACTGTCGCAATCGGACCAACTTTTGCTTTGATTTGGACGCGCTGGCGTGCAACCCCCTGTGGCCCAAACTCCAATCCGACTGAGCTCCCCGATAGTTCTGGCAGCCATGTTCGACCAACAGCGGGCATTGGACGGAGAAAACGCGCAGCCGCACGCAACGCCTCTCCTGGCAAGGGCGACGACGACTCGCGGAAGCAGACACGACCTGGCGCAGGTCTGTGTCTTGGGGTCTTGACGCTTTCGTTGCCTGCTCCTGTCCCAACCGCACAGAATACAGGATACAAGATACGGCGCAACCTTCGTAAGCCCCACTGCCTCTTTGCGACTCCACTTGGCGGCGCGCCGAGGTGGGGAAGCGAGAGGGGGCAGGCCTTCTCAGAAGGGAAGGCGGAAGGGCCTCCCAGAGGCCCTGCGGCCTCCCGAGGAGCCCTCCGTGGCTTCGGAGAGGCCCTGGCCCGCGGAGCCTTCTGGGAGGCCCCGCTCCCTCTGCCCGCGTCATCCCCTCGGTGCGCCGCCGATCTGCACCGAGATCCGACGCTGCGAATCCAATGCGACATCGCGAATAACCGCGACCACAGCCCTGCACCACATCCTTCTGCTGCGTTTTTCGAGCCGGATCGATCTGAAAGCGTCCAGGGGCCCGAGAAGGGGTGACCGAAATCGCCCGTGGCGGAAAACTTGCAACGCCTGGAGCTGAGGGCATGAAGCGCATGTGAGAACACACGTGAGGGGCAACGATCGGGGGGAATTGGCTCCGGGGGGAAACATCGACCTGGAATCGGCGATGCATCGCCAGTCTTCTGGCGGTCGGCCCCCGATCGGGCATCCGCACGCTCCTGGGCGGGGGTGGGGCAATCAAGCCCCTGTCGACGAACCATGGGCGATTGGGGATGGATGCGTTCCCCCTTGAGCTTGTTCCCCTCTCTGTCGCTGCCCCTGAAGACGAGGTCGGCCACCTGCTGCTGTTTCGTGAGCGCGGGTGCCCCATGCAAAGGTGCTGCCTGCTCTCGCTCGAAGGGGTGCAGGTGCAGCCAGTCGAGGTACTGGCTGTACCTCGGGCGGTGTTCGCATGCCGCTGCCATTTTCATGCACGCAGTATTGTGTCGATCATGCACTTGCTGTGTTCGCATGCCGCTGCCATCTTCATTCGAGTCCTGACGAGCCCCAGCAGGGGCGAAACGTTGACACGCGTACTGAAAAGGCACGGGCTTGAGAGCGCCATACGAGTAAGCTGTGCCTCGGGCGGTGCGGCCCGAGCCCCCCCCTGCCAGGAGCTGTGCGGACATCGAGGCCGAGCACTGCGAGCGCCTGGCGCGCATACTCCAGCTTTCGTAATAAAAGGGAGGGGGTCTGGACCCTCCAAGACGAGCCACTTCAGACCCCCCCCGTGGGAGAACCCTCCAAAACATCGTCCCCAGACCCCCCCAGGCCCTCCAAGATAGCCTGGAAGAGACCCCCCCCGAAATGAGACCCCCCTCCCTTTTATTACGAAATCTGGAGTACGCGCCAGCAGGACGGCTGGAGTGAGGACCACTCTGGGCTCAGAAAGGGGGGGCTCCGGTTCTCGGGCCGTGCCGTGGAGCGAGGTCGGGGAGCCTGCTCGTGCCCGAGGCTGGCCGTGGTCCTCCTCCTCCTCCTCTTCCTCCTCCTCCTCCTTCCTCCTCCTCCTCCTCCTCCTCCTCCTCCTCCTCCTCCTCCTCCTCCTCCCCCTCCTTTAATACGAAATCTGGAGTAAGCGAGATCACAGAATTCGGGGGCTCCGAGGAGGGTGTCTGCAGATCACGGCCCGAGGCACGTGCGTGGACGCGGGGGGGATGAGGAGCCTGTTCTCCACCACCACCGCCAGAAGTTTGAGGGGGGGAGGAGGAGGAGGAGGAGGAGGAGGAGGAGGAGGAGGAGGAGGAGGAGGAGGAGGAGGAGGAGGAGGAGGAGGAGGAGGAGGAGGAGGAGGAGGAGGAGGAGGAGGAGGAGGAGGAGGAGGAGGAGGAGGAGGAGAACCCCCCCCCCTCCAACTTATGGTGGTGGTGGTGGTGGTGGTGGAAGACACGCCCATCAGGGGAGGCCAAGGGACGTACCGAAAGGAGACGACGGGGCCGTGACATCGGGGGGGCACCATGGCCCTGGCCATGAGGTCCAACCCCCAACCGGGTCAGCACCGCCCCCCCGTGGCCGCTCCCGAAAAACTCAGCTGCCTACGATGGGCCCGCTTTCCACCACCACCACCGCCACCATAAGCTGGAGGGGGAGGGGGTCCTCCTCCTCATCCACCTCCTCCTCCTCCTCCTCCTCCGCCTCCTCCTCCTCGTCTTCCTCATCATTCCCCCCTCCAATTTCTGGTGGTGGTGGTGGTGGAAGAGATAAAAGCTAGGGATCTAGAGAGACCTCGCAAGAGCCCCAGGCAACAAAAACGGACTGCCATGGAGGGCGGGTGAGCGCACTTTGCTGGGGACGAGCTGGGATGAAACAGGAGGAAGAATAGGGGAGAGGAGCAAAGGGAGTTAGGACTAAGCCCCTGGGATCCAACATGGATTCCGCAAGAGCTGCGATTAACCAAACATCATATACAAAAAACTGCACCAACTCGGGAATGAATAACCACCGGAACAACTCCCTAACTGACGGGCTCGCCTACCACTAAGCAGAGAGCGGCAAATAGTACCGACGCTAAGTACCATCAACAAATGGCACTCATCACACACCTCTTTTCAAACTTGGGTGCTTGCAGCCATCCTACCGTTTTATCGAAGAGCGTTGGGAGGTCCTTTGAATGAATCGTCTAGATGATTCCCTGACGTCTCCACGATGACGAAACTAATATTTACAACAGTGGCAACCTTGCGTCAACGCGGGACCGAATAGGGTTGGAGTCGAAACTCAAGTATAGTATCAGTCGTGGAGACAGCCTTGAAGTTGGCATCACATCCAGACCATCGCCGCAGTCATGGACCACGGCTCTGGCGAGGGCCTTGATCTTGGCAGGTTCCAGTCGAAACTGAAGTATTGTATCAATCTTGGAGACAGCCTTGAAGTTGGCATCACATCCAGAGCATCGCCGCAGACACGGACAACGGCTCTGGTGGGCGCCTTGATCTTGTGAATCAGTTCTTCGCGAATCTCCGTGCATCAAGATTGTGTCTCCACCTTGATGAGACGACACGCTGGGCTAGATCGCGTCCTGCGCATCGCCCAAAAGCTGTGGTCAGAGCAGGGCGAGTTGGGGCAACGGCGACTCAGACTCGGCTCCAAGACCCCTCCCTGGTCCGACCGCACCAGTTGTCCCGGCTGCGTCCAGCCGTGGAGACGAGGGCTCCCCCCCGAAGGCCACGTGCCGCGTTGTCTCACCTCGCCCTCCTCTGAGGTGGCGACCATGGCACAGCGCAGTCGCCGCCATGGCCATCCGCGGCCGGCAGAGGCAGCTGCACAAGGGCTGATCGACCCACCGCGGAATCCCGGCACCACGCAGCGGAGCCGTCGGCCCCGATAGCGTGTCAGAGGCACCGCGGGGTGGGCGCCCCCGCCTGGCCCTGCTGTCGCCGCTCCGAGGCCCGCGCCACTTGGCCGCGCGAGCCGATGCCTCTCGTCGGGGCGGAGAGGCTCTTCGAGGGCGTCTGCTCCCTGCTCTCTCTCGTAGTCTAGAGATATCTACATATCTCCCTCTCTCTCATTGTTTCCCTCTCTGTCTCGTACGCTGCTCCGTGCTCCATCTCGCTCACGTGTCCCCTCCCTCTTCCTATATGTGTATGTATGTACGTTTGCATGCATGGATGTCAGTCTGTCTGTTTGTCTGTCTGTCTGTCTGTCTGTCTGTCTGTCTGTCTGTCTGTCTGTCTGTATGCATGTGTGTATGTATGTGTGTAGGTTTGGTTATTATGCGTTGTGTACATGTGAGTATGTATGTATGTATGTATGCATGCATGTATGTATGTATGTATGTATGCATGCATATACGTATACATGTATGTATGTATATATGTACGTATGTATGTATGCATGTAAAGATGTATGTACACATGTATGTAAGTACATGTATGATGTACGCATGTGTGCTTGTAGTGTGTATGCATGCAAGAACTCATACATGTATGTATGCAGCCGTGCATGCATGTATGTATACACGCAGGTAGGTATGTATGTATGTGCGTGTATATGTGTACATATGTGTATTTATGTATGCATGCGGGCATTCATGCATGCATGCATGCATGCATGTATGTATTCACATATGTTTGTATGTACGTATGTACGTACGTAGGCACGCATTTATGCCTGCATGTATGTATGCATGCATGCGTGCATGGATGTATGTACGTATGTGTATTTGTATGTGTGAATATACACAATCACATGTTACACACAGAACCCCTCTATCCCCGCTAATTGCCTTTTGTTTTTGTCCCCCGAACAGAGTTTACACTTATGGGGTTCCTGCCTGTCACCAAAGATTTGGGCATGTCTGCAGTTCTGGCGGCTATGTCGTCACCGTCGCCGCCCCTTCGCCGCTCTCGTCTGGGCATGTCTGCCGCTTTGGCGGCTATGTTCTGTCGTCGCCAACCCGTCGCCGCCCCGTTGTGGCCTCGTCGCCGCCTGTCGTCTGGGCCTGTCTGCCAGTCTGGCGGGTATGTCGTCGCCGTCACCGCCCCGTCACCGCCCCGTCGCCGCCCCGCATCCGTTCTTTTTTTCCTTTCTACGCAGGAACTGAAGGGGTCCGCCGCCCCCAGGAGCCTGGATTATCAGTACGCCCTGGAGATGTGCAAATTACGTATGGCCCTGCCCCATCGTTCGCTCTAAATCTGAACCCGTACTATCCCAACCATGCTGGGTTCGACCCCCCCCATCCCCTGCAACAAGCACCGTGCGCGTAAATTCGTTCAACACAACTCATAAGATTTGCCAGATTTCCTTGCACAAGAAAAGGCGGACTGCACGTGCGCGTGTCGTCGCGCGCGCATGACCGAACCCAATGTTTTCTCCAGGTTTCGTACGGAATTCAACATCAAGTGCCCCGAAACGTATATGAACACATTATGTTGCAGCATGTTTGTTCCCAAGAAACTGCGCGCGCTCTTGCCAATTCTCAAGGTACAGCATCGCTTTTTCGTTACATGCTCATCACGTGCGGCCAAGCGAACCTCTCGCGCGCGCATGTCGAAATTATTCGAGCGCCTTTGCGCGCGTGCTGGGGGTGGGGGGGGGCGCGATCTCTGTTATGTAACACCATGCGGGCCACTCGTGCGCGTCGGCCGCGCGCACATGTCGAAATCCTTCTCAACACTTCGTCACCGACACGTGGACACCATCATCGTGATCGGCGTGATCCACATCGGTGCCGTCATTGGCTTTGCCGTCGTCATCGTCATCGTCGTCTCGAACATCGCTACTATCATCATTGTGTCTGCCGTTGTCAGCGTCCCCATGATACCACGCCCGTCCGGATCACCCACTCGCGTTGAGGTGCCCGCGCGTCAATGCGGCCTCCGAGGCCTCCGACACGCGCTGAAACGTGCCCGGCGGTCAGCGCCACCGCGGCCGCGCCGGTCGCGCCAGACTCGCTGGCCCCCCAGCGCGAGCTAGCGCGGCCGCAGCAATGCGCCAGCCAGGGCCACGCAATCATGGCAATCGCCGCCGCGTGGGCTTCGCAAGCCCACTTCGGGGTGGGTGGGTGGGAAGATTGGCAAGAAACTTCGCAAGTTCAAGTTCGGAAGGGTGACTTGCGCAGCATAGATTCCACGGCGTATCTTGCTCCACATAGGTCGCACCTCCTGTTTTGCGCCACGTAGATGGCATTAAACAGATTTTGCCAAATAGATCACACAACGTCGATCGCACCACATATGTTGCACTACGTAGATTTCACGACATGGGTCGCACGACATAGATTGCACCACCTAGATTCTCCTTCCTTAAAGACGAATAGACTCTAGCCGCCCTGGAGTTAACGACACATGATTCAGCCCCATCGTCCATCCTGAATGAGAATTCGTACTATCCCAGCCAAACCCGTATCACTCCCCCCCGCCATCCCCTGCAACAGATACTGTGCGCGCGCTCCCGTGCATAAAAAGCTATGAGTTGTCAAGAATCCCTTGCGCAAAAATGGTACGAACTGTACACGCGCGCGTCGTCGCGCGCGCATGCCGAAATCCTTCAAGAACCTTCGGTTCCGGAAGGAATTCAAAATCGAGTTTCCAAAAGACATACAAACACACATTGCTTTGCAGCACTGATTTTCTAAAAAGGCTTACGCGCGCGCTCTTGCGAAAACCTTGAGAAAACCAAAATGTTTTAAATCTTTTTCAAACAAAAAATACTACCAAACGGGTTTCGCGCGCGCATGCCGAATTTTTTCGAACGCCCTTGCGCGCGTGCCGTCGCGAGAACCCTCTGCAAAAAACAAGACGAATCGTCGCGCGCGCATGCTGGAATCCTTCAAACACCTTCGCTTTCGGAAAGATTTCAAAATCGTGTGCCCAAAGAAAAAACAAAAACACATGATTTCCCAACACGGGTTTTCAACAGAAGCGTGCGCGCGCGCTCTTGCGTCGTCGTCGTCGTCGTCGCCATCCTCCCTCCTCCCTCGTCGTCGTCGTCGTCGTCGTCGCCGTCGTCGTCCTCTGTCTTTCCTCGTCGTCGTCGTCGTGGCGTCATCGTCGTTTCCGTCGTCGTTGTCGCCGTGGTCGTCCTTCCTCCCTCGTCGTCTTCATCGGCGTTTCGTCGTTGTCCATCCTATTTCGTCGCCATCGCCCTCGTCGTCGTTTTCCCTCCTCCCTCGTCGTTGTCGTCGTCGCCTACGTCGTCTTCCCTCCTCCCTCGTCGTCGTCGGCGTCGTCGTCGTCATCGTTGGCGACGTCGTCGTCCTCGTTGTCGTCTTCGTCGTCTCCGTTGTCGTCGTCGTCGTCGTCGTCGTCGGAGTCGTCGTCGTCTTCGTCGTCGTCGGCGTCGTCGGCGGCGGCGTCGTCGTCGTTGGCGTTGTCATCGTCGTCGTCATCGTCGTCAGCGTCAGCGTCAGCTTCGTCGTCGTCGTTGTCATCGTCGTCGTCGTTGTCGTCGTCGTCGAAGTCGTTGGAAACGTCGTCGGTGTCGTCGAAGTCGTTGTCGTCGGCATCGTCGTCGTCGTTGTCGCTGTCGTCGTCGGCGTCTTTGCCAAGTGCAATTTGGTACCCACCGTCACAGTCTTAAATGGTTTTGCGACCAAGTTGCGGGTGGGAGGGTGGGATGTTTGCACGAGCAGCGGAGAGGAAAACTTCAAGCTCGGCAGGGTGAATTGCACAACGTAGACCGCACCGCATCTATTCTCCATTCTACAAGAAGAATAGACTCTACCCCCCCGGAGTCAACGATCCCGCCTGGGGTATTGCGATTTCGTTTTTATGTTACACACTATTCCATCCAAAATATGAGTTATTGCAATCCCAGCCAAACCAGTACCACTCCCCCCCGCCATCCTCTGCAACATAATTGCTGTGCGCGCACTCTCGTTTATCAAAAGCCATAAGATTTCAATAATCCCTGGCCAAGAATGAGACGAAATGCGCACGCGCGTCGTCGCGCGCGCATGCCGAAATCCTTCAAGAACCTTCGGTTCCGGAATGCTTTCAAAATCGAGTTTCCAAAATACATACAAAAACACATGGCTTCGCAACACTGTTTTTTGTTTCAAAAAAGGCTTACGCACGCGCTCTTGCGAATTTTCGAAAAAAAAAAAAAAAAATCATACCAAACGGGCTTCGCGCGCGCTCATGCAGAATTTTTGTCGAACGCCATTGCGCGTGTGCCGTCGCGCGCGTACGCCGAAATCCTTCAAAACCCATCGACTTCGGAAATATTTCAACATCGTGTGTCCAAAAAACCAACGAAAACACAAGGTTTCGCAACACGGTTTTTCAACAAAAGCGTGCGCGCGCGCTCTTGCGTCGTCGTCGTCGTCGTCGTCGCCGTCCTCCCTCCTCCCGCGCCGTCGTCGTCGTCGCCTGCGTCGTCCTCTGTCTTTCCTCGTGTTCGTCGTCGTCGTCCTCTTTGGCGTCGTGGTCGTTTCCGACGTCGTTGTCGCCGTGGTCGTCCTTCCTCCTCCTCCCTCGTCGTCGTCGTCGTCCGTCGTCGGCGTCTCGTCGTCGTCCCTCCTATTTCGTCGCCGTCGTCGTCGTCGTCGTCGTTGTCGTCGTCGTCTTCCTTCCTCCCTCGTCGTTGTCGTCGTCGGCGTTGCCGTCCTTCCTCCTTTTTCGTCGTTCGCGTCGTCGCCGTCCTCCCTCCTCCCTCGTCGTTGTCGTCGTTGTCGTCGTTGTCGCCGTCGTCGTCCTCCCTCCTCCCCCGTCGTCGTCTTCGTTGGCGACGTCGTCGCAGCCGTCGTCGTCGTCGCCGCCGTCGTCGTCGTCGGCGTCGTTGACGTCGTCGTCGTCGTCGTCGTCGGTGTCGTCGTTGTCGTCGTCGTCGGCGTTATCATCGTCGTTGTCGTTGTCATCGTCGTCGTCGTCGGCGTCGGCGTCGTCCTCGTCGTCGTCGGTGTCGTCGTCGTCGTCGTCGTCGTCGTCGTCGTCGTCGTTGTCGGCGTCGTCGAAGTCGTTGGAGACGTCGTCGCCG